TATTTTTCTATAAAGACTTCCTTGGCAATTTCATGAGTTGAAAAGTTAAACAATGTTTTCGATTATGTTTCTTATTAGCATAATCAGTCTTTTTTATAGATACATGGAATTTTGCCTTATTAAAAACCTTACTTCTGAAGTAATCCTGTTTTTGAGAAAGTCAGTCATACTAGACTTAGTCTGCACACATAGAAACTAATGCAACACATTTCAAAATTTCCAGAATAATATTTTGTACTATATTCCCATTCATGTAACAAGATTCATGACTTAAAATTAATCATGAATATTTTGTGATAATAAAGACTATCCTTCACTAGAAATGGTCTAACTAGATTAAATATTTTTTAAGTTTACAATATCATAAAGTGATCATGTTAATCCATTATAAAACTATTTTCAAAGGCAATAAATGAGAAAACTATAATTATATGCATTGTAACTTCTTAGCCTGTCTTCCATACTGGACACAGGTACAATAAAGAATTCTTTCTGAATGCTAGGAGGTGATTTTCTCTGTCCTTAGGCAACTTCATGATTGAGGCAAGCCATTAGTGAATTTAGTGGCAAAGCTGTCTGATTTCTTCATTGTTTTAATTTAATTCATGAATGCCTGACAAGCTAAAAACACAGCAATTTTAAGCAAGACTAAAGGGAGGAGTCAACCATTTCCAAGTGTATCATCATAGATGATATTTCTTTTTCCTGCTCTGCCACCCCATGTCTTGGATCAGTTCTTTTATATTGCACCAATTGCATCGAGAGAGTAACTTCCCCAGGCCGCATCTAAAGGACTTGACGGATTCTGGATATAAACATTAGGATCTAGTTGACAGAGGATCTAGTTGGTAGTTACAATTAAGTTGACCAGGAAAATGTTACACATAAACAAACCCTGAATTATTTTAACTTATCTAGGAGCTGCAATCACCCTTACAAATAATTGCAATTCATTGATTGGTCATTTAAAGCACCTCTGAATTATACCAACTTTGTTCATCATGGTGCTCATTTCTTCACACAAATGGCTTTTATAAAAAGAGTTCATGCCGAACAGCTTGCTAGCAGATTTTTACTGAGTGATACTGGCTCTCTCTTTTCTTATTACTTCATTTATTGCATTATTAAATCAATAGTTTATGTAGAAGCCAAGAAAATGTTTTATATTGCAATATGATTGCATCCCTGGAGTTCATTAACTCATTTTCCTTCAATTAACTCTGTCTACCACACCCATCTCCTAGCATTTCTGATTCTTCAGTCCCCTTTCCATTGCAAGTAGAGCTTTCATTTTTTTTTGAGCTGAATCTTAAAAACTAGACCTTTGTTTCTACAACAGTATTGTTTCAATAAGGAAGAAGAAAATCTTTGAGATGAATTTATGTCATTAGCATCCATAGGTCAAAATATATTTGTTGATTATCTCTGGAAAGATTACAAGGGTTTATGGAAAAATTTGGTTTGCCCTTTAAATAACCTTTTCATGATGTAATCCTGTTTCAATGCATCAGCATAGAAACAGGGGTTTTTCCCATTATTGAGATGTATACAGATTATTTACAATAGCACCAGCGACAATGTCTGTAGCTTCTAACCTAGTCAGAGTTCTTTTATACCCATCATGGTAAGAATTCTAGTTATGTTTGAATGCTTCCTCATAATAGCACAAGTTCAAGTTCAAAATGAGATAAAATTAACCCTCATACTTAAGATACTGAGTTTTCTATACAGCTTAAATGCCTGTTTATGCTAATAACTTTAACTTGTGTCAAGTCTTGATTTTTTTTAAAAAAGTATACTGTTTAATATTTTTAAATCCATTTTTGCATTTTCTGATTTTTTTTTTTTTTTTAGTATTAACCCAGATAGAGGATGACTTTGCAGCGAAGCCCACAATTTCAGCCACAGGATTTTGAAATGCTATCTTCATCATGCATTAGCCATTAGAAAATGTAGCCTCAATTAATCTACCGTTTGCACAACTGGATTCAGCGCGTATTGGAATGACTTATACTGACGAAAGCCACAGCTCGTGAGTTTGACTTTTGGTTCCTAATCTCTTCAAGATAACTTTCTGTATTGAGCAATACGAATGTTTTCCCCGCCTTTTTCCATGGAGTCTGTTCTCCCTGAATTCAAGATCAGAGGTTTGCCTTAATGTTGGAAAGACTCCTAACTTTTGTTTGATGCAACGAGGGAGAACAGAGGAACGTTACGTGCAATCAAATCGAGATCCTCACCCATAAAATTCACTTGGCTCCACAAGTGTTTTTTTTTTTTTTTGTTTTGTTTTGTTTTTCTAGCCAAATTAGCACTTTGTTCTCATCTCCACATTTCTCTATCTAAAAGGGAGGCTGCTTAGGCTAGGCTGTCAGCTTTTTCCAGCAAGACTCTCAAAATACTTTCCTATTCTGCAAACGAAAGCCTCGTCTCAGTGTCTCACCCAGCAGACATTATTCATTTTGAGCAACCCAGCTACATTTCAAATTTTTTTGTCTGAGACCTTTCTTCCATGAGTTAAGTTACAAAAGGAAATAAAAATATTAAAGGAATTATACTTAATTTCATTCAAGGACAGAAAAATCTGCTGATATAATTAGCATTCAAAGGCCGAGAGGAAGGTCTCTTGTTGTTAGCAGTTTTAGAACCATTTCTGGAATAGGTAGAACATGTGATTTAGGCTTTAAAATTTCCTAGAATTCAATGAAAATGAATCCACAACATACCCAAAGGCACTAAGTGCCTACATACAGAACCTGGAGAAATCTCACGTAAGTGACTTAACAGCACAACTGAAAGCTCTAGAACAAAAAGCAGCAAACTCACCCAGGAGGGCGAGACACCAGGAAATAATCAAATCAAATTGGCTAAAATCAATAAAATAGAAACAAAAGAAGTAATAGAAAGAATCAATGAGACAAAGAGTTGGTTCTTTGAGAAAATCAACAAGATACACAAACTCTAACCCAAACTAAGCAAGGCAGAGAGGGAATATGCAAATTAACAAAAATCAGAAATGAAAAGGAGACATAACTACAGACACAGGGGAAATCCACAGAGTCATCAGGTCATACTTCAAAAACCTGTACTTCACAAAACTGGAAAATTTAAAGAAAATGGACAATTTACTGAATATATACCATACACCAAAATTAAATCAAGAACAGATAAACAATTTAAATAGATCTATAACCCCTAAGGAAATAAAGACAATCATCAAAAGTCTCCCAACCAAAAAAGCCCAGGGCCAGAGAGTTTTAGTATAGAATTCTACCAGAATTTCAAAGAAGCATTAATACCAATACTCATCAAGTTTTTCCACACAATACAAGGAACATTGTCAAACTCTTTTTATGAGATTGCAGTTACCCTGGTACCAAAACCACACAAAGATATAATTGAAAGAGAATTACAGGCCAATTTTCCTCATGAGCATTGACACAAATATACTCAATAAATATTTATTATGCATAAAATTAAATAAATATACTCCATAAAAATAAAATACTGGCACACCAAATTGAAGAACACATCAAAAAATCATTCACCATGATCAAGTTGACTTCATCCCAGAGCTGCAGGGATGGATGGTTCAACATATGAAAATCACATATACTGTAAAAATGTCAGATAAAAGGAAGCCGTGAAGCCTGTCAGCTCCCTTGATGGCTGAGATTCATCTGTGATGATCCATGCACTGAGTGCCTCTCATTAACCTTTCTTATCTACATTTTTACCTTGCATTTAACACCCCCTAGAATTTCTGTCATAATATGCTTACCGTTAAATGTCCATTTTATAGGAAAAAACAAATCTCATTTTAAGAAGGAGCCAGCCTGTAAGGAATAAGTCAGAGTGATTGGAGAGTATGACCTAAGGGCATGATATATATTTGTAAAAATTTTATGAAAAAACTCATTATTTTTGAGTAATTATGATACAACTTAATTACTCTTGCAATTATTATACACTGAGGTGTATCCTCCTCTTAAAACACGAAGACAACAGTAACTCAGTTTGTATGAGTGAATGGGTTGTATTTATTTACTTAGGGAAATATCTATGTATATATATGTATGCATGTACAACAATTAAAGAAAAAGAGGTAAAAAAATTCAAAGAGAGCACACAGTTATGTATGAGAGGGGTAGGAAAGAAAAAGAGGAGGGAGAATTATATAGTTTCAAAAACAAAAAAATAAGTTGTTTAAATAATTAAAAAATTCCTTGTTATTCTTTTTTATATTTATTTATTATGTATAAAATATTCTATCTGCATGCATGCCTAAAGAGGGCACCAGACCTCATTACAGATGGTTGTGAGCCACCATATGTTTGCTGGGAATTGAACTCAGGACCTTTAGAAGAGCAGGCAATGCTCTTAACTGCTAATCCATCTCTCCAGCCCCTCCTTGTTATTCTTATGCATCTCTACTGATGCCAACTGTTGGAAGACTACAAGTATCTAGTATTTTCATGTGTTCAAATAAAGTGGAATGCTTCCCAAGCCAGTGCTGGTGTCCTTCATTACATTTGTTTGTTTCATTTCTTTCCACAAGGATGGAGACCTGTAGCTTCGTATGCCATGGTGTCTTCTTTAGCTGCAAAAACCTGAAATCATTTTTACTACAACCATTTCCATGATACTAACCCTGGTTTAAAGCATGTGTTAGCACACACAAATATTAATGAAAACCAGATTTGGATGGATTGTTCTAGATTGCATGAGTTGAACTGTTTATATTATGAGGGAGTGAGCGTGGTTTTTTTTTTTGTTGTTGTTGTTTGTTTTGTTTTGTTTTAACTTTGGAGTGCTATCTTTATTTTTCTACAAGCAGGTTTTTTTATTATTGATTTTTATTGCCTCTCCCCTCCTCCCTTCAGCCCTCCCCCAATGTCCCCATGTTCCCAATTTACTGGGACATCTTGTCTTTTTTCTACTTTCTACTTCCCATGTAGATTAGATCTTTATAAGTCTCTCTTAGTGTCCTCATTGTTGTCAGGAGACAGAGACAGATGGATCTCTGTGAGCTTAAGGCCACCCTGGGCTACAAGAGGTTGAGTCAGTGTGAAAGAAAAACAGTCAAGTGGTGGTGGCTCACACCATTAATCCCAGGACTACCGAGGTAGAGATGGGAAGGGATATGGCTGAGTGGAGAGAGGAATATAAGGCAGAGGAGACAGGAACTCAGGATTGTCGGAGGATTCCTAGAAAAAGGATTGCCCATTCGACCTAAAGATTTGGTAGAGGTAAGAACTTTAATGGTTGGCTCCTGTACTTTTCTGATCTCTTAGCATTCATCCTAATATCTGACTCCAGGTTTGTATTATTAAGACCAATCAGAATTCCTTCTACAATAAGTCAATTCGGAATAAAACTCCTTGGCTTCCGGATCTGTGCCTACCTTTCCATGGTTTTCCTGTGAGAGAGAAATACTCAAGATCTTGTGGTGACAACAGAAAAGGCTTCTGTAGATTCATGCTGAGACTCAGCACTTTTGACAATGTGAGCGAGCATTCGCCATGATATGATGTTCATTTGATTAATGTGCCCTATTTATTCTGAGTTCATTCAGACGGAATTAGGGTGACGTTTTGTTCTGATCTGTTCATCCCCTCCTCTTGTTCACTTGCTAGTGTTGTGTACGTTTTAGTCTTTCCCACACCCTCTCAGACCCAAGGCAAGTCTGTCATCCATGATCTCATAAAATGAGAACTGGTTTCTTCCCCTGCTTGACGGAATCATTCCTTCCTCATTGATAGGCTGGCGGGGATTATTTGTTGGCACCAAGTTACCTTGAAGACCAATTACTTCTGCAAAACTCATTCTTTTTTGCATTCTCCTCAATTTATCTAACACATTTGTCGCATCTCAGGCCAATGTCCAGAGAAGAGAGATATAGAGTCACACCACTCACTTACCAGCTCTCCTTCTACTTAGCTTTTTCCTAGTTCTCAAAGTGAGAAATGATTAGCTTTATTTCCCTGAAACTATAACATCTGATGGAGAAATTATTTCCAGTAAAATAATGCAATTTTGCAAACCATTTTAGCCCCCAGAATACTGTTCTATATGACAAGAAGAAGCAAAGTAAGAGACATCTTGGTTTAGTCTAGCCCAAATGTCTTACGAATGCCTGCTGTACCTTTCTCCTCGGTGACGTAGTTTTCCTGTTTTGCTATAGGTACTCCCCTTGTAACGTCACCCGGGTTTTATCCTTAGCCCCCTTTCCTTCTCAATTTTTTGTTTCTTAATACTTCCTTGACATCAAATAGAAATGTTGATTTATGGCTCCCTGGAGCAAGAGGTAAGTGTGATTTCTCTCTCTCTGCTTACTAACATGGTTCCTCGCAGACACTGGATGCTCAATGGCTAATGGTGAACGAATAAGTGCCTGTTCCCCCACAGCTGAAAAATTTCCAAGATGCTTCTGCTAGTTTCATATGTAAGTGGAAATTAAATTTAAAAGAAGCAATGTAACCCACTATACTTAGGGATTGCGGGGATAATTTTTTTTTCCAGAACAGAGAAGTTTTATGTAATAATAGGGTTTTAGAAGAAAAAGTAAAGGTTCTAACTGTAGAATTTTGGTTTAAACTCATTGTTCTCCAGTTTGTGAAACTGCTTGTATCTTCCTTAGCCAAGCAAAAATAAATCAAGAGTGCTCTGAAGCATATGGATGACAATAAATCTCTTTGTTCTATGTATTATCTGCTTGCCAGGAGGGGAAACCAGACTAAAGCAAATGAAAAACAGTAAATCTCTTCATCCTATGTATTATCCACTTGCCTGAAGGAGAAACCAGAGCAACAGAAGAGACTTTATAAATCAGGATTCCTTGAAGATGCAAACAACTTAGAATATCAATTTTAAAGATTAACGTAAAAACTCTCAGCTGCAGCAATAATGCACTGTAACTATTTTTTAAACAAACAAACAACTACAGTTGCTTTGATAGTAATTTAGATTTTAACTATATGTTAGAGATGCCATTACTTAGTATGGACCTAGAGCCTGGTCCTATTCTTACTACCTGACACGGGAATGGACTATCCAATATAATCATTTTAAACAGCTAGATTTCCTTTCTCCTTAAAATGACTATTTTTCTATACTTTTTATTTTAATTTTTCCACGCACTAAATTTTACCTGGAAACTAAATAATTCTTTATGAAATGAGTAAAAATTGATAAAGTCTTCCTTCACTTGCATTCACATTTTGACCTAACAGGTTAATATTCTCATGTCTGAACTAGGAATAAGGAAGAGCGCAGAAAGGACTGAATGTGAGCCAAAGCTACTCTTTGGATAGCATCCGTTAGGTCTTGTTTTAGTTTTGGTCCTCATTTGTACATCTGTATGATTATAGTCTTTATGCAAATACAAAGAGCAACTAATCCAGTAATAGGACTCAACTGGAGTAGAATGCTTCAAACGTTCGACTTCCTTTTTAAGACGGAAGCATGTTATAGTTTTCTTTTTCAAAAGATTCCGATAGTGAATAGGGTAGGCACATGTATGAGAAAAGGGATTCCTCCAGTGTTTCCAGACATGAATTTGAAGGCAGACTTTCAAATTATGCTGGAAGTTTCCCTTCAAAAGTTTTAGATATTAAGTGACATATTTAGAAGGAGAGACACCATGTATTCATCTAGGAGAAAACACATCTTGTTAGTGAGATAATTTCCATGAGTATCTATCTATTTGTAAATTTGTTACTGATCAGAAAATATCTCTAACTTGAATTTTATTCTGCCCTTTTCATTTGTCTATTTAACCAATTAATTTGATAAGACTTTAAAGATTAGAATGAATCTGAAATATGATATTTCAACTTCATTTTTAATAGTTTGTGATTTTAAAAACCTATCAGCTGCCAATTCAGTGGGAAAACTTGCATATTGTATTTTGACAATTTTCAACTGTAATTTCCTCAGACAAGTGTCAATTCCAAAAGGCTGACTCTGTTTGAAAAGACGTGAAGGTTCTCTGCATGCCTCTTTCAACGTCTATAGATCTACAAAATTAAAATTATATATACTTTCAATATTTTAGAACATTTGTATAGACTGTAGGCAGGAAAAGCGATAAAATGAGTTTTTATTTAATTGAAATTGAGGATTATGAACTCTGGGCATATCATGTCTCTGTGGGCTCTTTATATCTGTTTACTAGTGGAAGAGAAGGATAAATCATGAAAGTGTTGTCTTCCACCTTCTCCACGATGCTAAACCGTGCATTCTAAGTGTGTGTGGCTGAAATTAACAAAAAGGTTCTTTGTTCACTGGATTTGAACATTTGTTTATCTTTTCTTGAGAAACTTCTTCAAACACAAAATGTTAATGACCTAATATATTAAAGAACCGGCCTTTGTTTATTTTTCCCCCTTCTTTGACCACCCACACGTTGAACGTCGTATGTTACATCTTCCTATAACCAAAACCACATGGAGGAGATCCACTTCGTTGGACATTTAGAACTATCGCAAAATGAAGACTTGATTCTAAGTCCAAAAAGTAGCATATAATTTTCTGCTTATGGCTATGTCTAACTTATTAGGCATGTATCAGGGAGTATTTCCATAGCTAACCAAGAAAAGTATAGCCCTACAATACAATCAAAGCGTAAGGGCGAAGAAAATCATAGGTATCAACTGAAATGAAGAGGTTTTTATAAGCAACAAAACTGTCAGCAAGATGAGTTTTCCCCGGCACCATCATGAAAATCAAATGAGGTTTGGGGACTTGGTTTGTTGCCAATATGACTCCAACTAGCAGTGATATTCCTATTGATTTAGTATGCTGTTGCCAGTTTCCCCCTTCTCTTTCCTCTCTCAGGCCCTACTAGGTACCCTCTCTCCAACCCACCCCATGCTCTCCTCATTCTCAAATTAGTAACTTCTTTTTCTTTGATTATCATAGTTACATAATATGTCTTCAAGTGTATGTACAAATATATATAAATGCAAGTGATTGAGTCTGGTTTTGTTTATTTGTATGTAGCTTCCGGACTCATCCCCGGCAGAGGCTAACACTCCCTTGCCAACAGTTATTAGCACCCTGCAGTTCTTTATCTAGCGGCGTGACCCCAAGAAATTTTCTCCCTTCCACAACAGCATATCCATCTATCTATCTATCTATCTATCTATCTATCTATCTATCTATCTATCTATCATCTATCTACCTACCTATCTATCTACCTACCTATCTATCTATCTATCTATCTATCTATCTATCTATCTATCTATCATCTGTCTGTCTGTCTGTCTATCATCCATGTATCTGTGATCTATCTATTTATTTATTACAGCAGTAATATTTGGTTTTACCCTAGGTCCCTGGGCTATTTAGTCGCAGGCTCTTGACCACCAAGCAGTGTTGCTTATGGGTTCTGTCTTGTGAAGTAGATCCTAAGAAAAACCAGGTTTGCTTGGTTAGTCCTAAAAGATCTGGGCCACCATTGCTCTAGCATGTTTTGTAGTTGAAAACCATTGAGATGAAGGGTTTGTGGTTGGTTTAGCTTTTAGATTTCTCTTCTGGTAGTGTGTAGACTACTTTCTGGTACCAAGACTCTAGAACATAGAGTCTAAGTAGGAACGACGAGCTCAGCTTCTCCATGTTCAAAGAGCTGTGTAGCTGTGGTTTACAGCAATGGGGCCTTGCTGTCAGTTTGTGGAGAACAACCTGTAATTGTGGCAATAGCCTTGGCCTCATGAGAATTTCCATGGTGCCACTTTGGCCAACGATTTAATTAGATGTAACACAATCCAGGTACTGGAAGCTTCTATTGGTAATATGAGACATCCAGTTAGGCCCTTCTCTCTCCCATTATCTGGCAATTCCATTTAGATAGCCTCCATATATGTATATATTTTAGGAAGCTTCTACTATATTAGGTTTCAATTCTACCTCTCAAGGGGCCCTAATTTTAGCTCTTTCCCCCATGACTCCCTCACATCCCTTATCACTTGATTCTCTCATTCTTCCCACCTGTCCACCCATATGACTACTCTGTTCCCTTCTCTAGGGAGATCTACCTACCACCACTGGTCCCTTACTCTATACCCAATCTCTTTGGTTCTGTGGATCGTCTGTTGTTTATCACTGACTTAACAGCTACTACCACATTGATTTTATGACTATACCTCTGCAGTTCAACTTGTACTTGAGAATGGCGATACCTACTGCAGTTACTTTATTATTCAGTATTCTTTTAGCTATCCTGAGTTTTTGTGTGAAGCTGAAAATT